CCACAGAAAGCCAATGCAAATCCAAGCTCCTATGCGTTAGGGATAAATTCAAACCTGACGGCTAACCAAAGGGAAGAAAATAAATTGAAGGAGGGAGGAATTAGGTAGCTAGCCAAAACAAGGCAACTTTAAAGACTTACAGCTCTATACTAGTAATTCCTGGCATAGTATTTTTGCCAGACTGAGCACTGTGGAACAGCTATACCATTGCACTATTCACTCCCATATACGCCATGGTTTCATCCAATCTCTGGGGCCTGTAGCTAATTCTGATTAGAAAATGTTTCAGGTGTTCTGCAACGCAGAAGCTTTTGGGCATGAACAATAAATTGAGCTCTGAAGGGTAGGCCTGAAGTGGCTTAGATATGGACAGTAGTTTTCCTGCATTTGAAACCACTTCTGTTTATATGAGCATAAAGAAAGAAGGGGGGGAAACTGCAGTTTCTGTTAACCTGCAACACCACACCTAAGCTCCATTTCAGAGTTTTCTATTTGTAAAGCATCTTTCATATTCCCCAGAATTTTCTCTTTGCATTTCACTGGGTAAGGGTCTGGAGAGTCAGAGCTCTTCCAAAACTTTTACTCTTTTCTTAAAGAACAGTTAAAATTAGGACAGACAGATCTGAAATGATTACTCCTCTGCTCACATCTCCAGGAACTCTAATAAGGCCGCGTGTCTGAAATTTTCAGCTGCAAAAATCTTTTCTTAGGTGTTACCTTATTTGTGAGTGAAAACTGAAGTAAATTAAAACTGTAAAAGATCCATTAACATTGGCCCACTGCCTGAACTGGCAAAGATCTGTCAAGAGGAGGCTAACATGCCCAAAGTATAAAGATGACGGCTGACTGACCTTCAATAATAAAAAAAAGGTGCTGAATATCTGGTACTTAATTCTAGCAAAGGTAAACAGGATGGCTTAGTGAAAGCCTTGAGTAACTTGCTTGGCTGTATTCCATACATAAAAATACAGAGGATAGGCACCCTGAATTTTGCTTATCATCAGTAGTGACTTAATTCAGAATTCTCCAATTTTGAAACATTTACTCATTAAGAGAAATATTATGGTGCAAAATGTTCAGATCTTGAAAAAAATCTGGAAAGACCACTATGATATCAATCTATCACTCTATGTATCAGTAAGCAGGAGATATCTGTATTTTTGAATGAATACAAAAGTTGGATGCAAGTTATTTATATTGCAAAATTAACCTAGTTATTAAAATCAAATGTTATCAAATTATTCAGACTAAAATAGCAGCAATAGTTTTTATTTAACATTATTTAGCATTTAATATTTGACTAAATTGTCAATCCACTGCCCAGTCTATTTCATTCCCAGGGAAGTTCTAAATAAAGTAGATAGTGTAACATAACTAAATAGTAAATTCAGTGCTAATAATTTCCTTAGAAGTATTAAACCCAGAAACGGGATGTGCATGGTATGGTGGAAGCACTTCATGAAACCTGGAGCACCACATGACCATGACAAGTAAAAGATGAGCTCATCAATTTCATTATTAATTCATTCCTAGGAATACAACTGTGCTCGTGTAGACCTGACAGAACAGCATGAGCATTAATTTTGCAAAGCAAAGTCTGTCTGCAACATGCAACACAGCAGGCAAAATTCAGCTGCAACAGAATAACTCCATCTGCTTCAAACAAATCAGTTACTACCAATCGGAATATAATTCTTTCAAAGGTAACACAGTATTAAAGGCAGATTCAAATATTCTGGAGTATAAAAATAAATTTAGTAAACAGTGATTCTGAAGTAAGCAAGTGAGTAACAATAGCTGTCAAAAGAAAAGCTGGTGGTAATTGCAGTTGAAAATATGTGTGATCTCTGATAATGAATAAAGAAATGTTACGTTGTTGTTCTTCAGATTAAAATTAATTCATTTGTCCGTGTAAAAGGTTTACACCGCTGTTGCCATGGAAAATTCAATTAAATGTTGTGGTGAACAGCAGAAGTGCAAGGTAAAATACAGAGTATTTACCCTATATCCTCAGAACATATGGTTAGCACTTTGTCGGGAAGAAAGAGATTTGGCAAATCAATATTTGCAGTTTTCATCTGTGAGCCTTGCTTACTCATTTCAAGCATTATACCATGTTATCTGGGTGAAGCAATTCCAGGAAGTATAGGAAGACTGGAAGGGATGCCCAGGGATATTACAGAGCTAGCACAGTAATCTCTCAGTTGGGTTGGGCACTGGAACTACAATTACTCCACAAGAACAGAGCATTTCTGAAGGAAAAATGCTGCCAAAAAATGCTTCAAGTGGAACTTCACCCTCATTTGTCTTCTCTAATGTGAAGCAGACCCAAATGTTAGAAAAAGGGCTTGACTAAATCCCAAACCAACACGTCAGATATCAGGAAAGAATCTGGCACATTTCCAGCTGTTACTCTCCATGGAGTCTGTCATAAGGACAGCTTCGTTGGCTGTCTCCCCAGTACAGGAAAGTACAGGTCAATGAATATCCTAAGGGCAGTTTATCAGACGTTTGTCAGGGCTACCTGATTTTTCTTGAGTCAGAACATTTTATGGTACAACAGAAAGATGTGACCAATGACACTTCAACAAATCATAGCTATCAAAATAGCTAAAATTGAGGGAGAAACCCCGTTTTTTTAAAAATAATAGATGATCCTCACTTCATTTTTAGATTGAAGCAAGCTCAGCCAGGTTACATAACCAAACATGGAACATTACTAACATTGGAAAAATTAATTTTCAACAAATTTATATCCTAAAAATGACATAGCCAGCCATAGTGAGATACTCCTGAATACTGAACATTTTATTTCAGTGAATGATAAACTAGCCTGAGCTGGTTCGATACTCTGAGTCTTATGCATCAGCACAGTGTTTCTTGAAGGATCATGTAAGCCATGAAATGTAAATTTTAAATTTAGAAGCAATTTCTAGTCATTATTGTTCTAAAGATAAAAATCCAGCTATATCCTGAAGTAGTTCTGCTTTTCTAAGTCTGCAAACAGAAGGAACTAACAGGCTATAACTCTAAGTTTCAGCAGTCTGCGCAGTGAAAGATTTAAGACTTCAAAGCATAGTAACGTTGTCCCATGTGCACGCTCCCCTGCTTTTTACCTCAGCTGGGAATAAACAAATCTCTGAAGTAACATAAAGGAGGTAGAACATTTGGCTTTACCTTTGAGGATCAAAGGTACCTACCCACCTTTATCTACTTCTACCTTAATCACTGAATCACAGGATAGAAGCACAGAGTGATTTAGGTTGGAAGAGATCTCAGGAGGACGTCTGTTCCCATACTCCCCTGCCCACAGAAGAGCTAACTTTAGGAATGGATTAGGTTGTTCAGGCCTTGTCCAGCTATGCTCTGAATGTCCCCCTGCCCATCCAAGCACACTTAATCACTAACAGCAGTGCCATCAATTGAACTTTGCTAGCCTTTGCCCCTTATTGGGAAAGAGATGCAACAGATCCAATACCTCTAAGATGGCGCAATCTGACCGCCCCATGAAAAGAAAGCATTATCTGAAGTTAAAAGTTAACTCTGAAGTTAAAACATAACTTTGCAAATGATTTCACTATTTTTAGTTCTAACAGAAAACTCTGATTATGCTGAAAACACGAGATGAGCGAGAGGATTAATTACTCTTCCTTGACAAAGCTGACATGTTTTGCTTGCCTCCAAAGAGCCGAATCTGAAATATCAGGTTATACAGGTTATATATCAGGTTATATCAGGCTATATATAATAAAATCTCTTTTGACATAGCATGAAGTGATTTTCCTTAACAGTGTTATTTGACTGATCAACTGAGTGATAAAGTGATGATGGAATACTACAGCTCTGCAATAGTATCCCTATCACTATTCAATACTATCAATAGTAAGTACAGCAAAAAAAAAAAAAGTGCAAAGCAAAATCTGGATGATTAGTAACAGCTGGAAACATAATGAGAATAAAAAGAATAGAAAAAATCTTGAAATGTTATAAAAGTTTAAAAATGTAATATGACACAAAATGCTGCAGTTTAGAACTCTGTTAACACCTCATAGGTTGCTTGAAGACACAGAATTTAGAAAAAAATTCCGTTAACAAAGTATGACTTCACAGTTGGATTGGGGAAAGGAGTCAGGAAGATGTAGTACCAAGGAACACAGCAGAAGCAGGATGTGCAGCAGTGAACTGAGACAGAGCAAGGGAAAAGATTTAAAACAAGAACAGCCTGAGTGTTTTGTGCTATACACGCTGGCTGTCTGCCCGTATGAGGACCCCTCACAGTAAGCAGATCTTACTCTTAAAATCCACAGAGACTAAGGATTTATCATATAATGACCCTACAGTCATTACAATGAAAATTTGAAACAGATCCCTTTGTAATAAGAGGAATGGGGGACTTCATCATTCTTGTATCAAAGGGTTCAGTGTACTCATTTAACGAGAGATCCAGATACAATTCTGAATTAAGTGGGATATCCTGACACCCATCAAAAAATTTTTTGAGGACGTGGCCTCAGCTGCAGAATTACCAAAGATAAATCCAGGCACTAACATTTTCTCTGGTACAGCCGCTTCTTCCACAGAGTAAGTCTTTTGGGAACCAGTGAATCTTGAGTTATCTTTGTGTGTACTGACAAGAATTTCAAAGTGAAGGGATGGCAGGCTCTCACTCTACCAATCTTTATCTTTGTTGCTAGCAACATTTCAACCAAACACACTGAGGGGAACTGAACTTCAGGTCTTTCCCTCCCATATTTTTAGCAAGTCATTTAACAAGTATTTTTGCAAAATTGTGCCACGTGACACGACAGTAAACCTCAACAAATGTAACGTGAGCCACACAATGTAACGCTGCAAGTACTTAAAATCAGTAGCGGACTGAGTGAATTATACTGAGCATACTACCAACCAGCATTATGTTATGCTCCAAAAGTGTATTTCTAGGTGAGATGGAATATCATTCTCAATTATTAGAGTATTATGATAAAGAATACATAACTTACCTATTCATTTCTTCAAGACAGTCTGTTGCAAAGTAGAAGCTCTTAATTTTGGGGTGACATGCTTTGAAGGCACTGCAAAATAAGCGCAAAGAATAAAAAAATGCCTTTTCTTTCAAACAGTCTGTCTATACATATAAATCATAGGTATTTTGAAAGTTTAGTCTGAATCTCTTGCTGAATGAACTTATAGACACATTTCTACCAGTTTGATTACATTTACATTTGTGAGCTAACTGGTACTAGTTAAAATTTTCAAAACTTAGAAATGTAAATCCTTTCAATAACTACTGATATTACACATGTAAAAATTACTTGGGTGAATTTGCAAATGTTTTTGAGCATATTTAAGTACATATTACTTGCAATCCAAAGGTCAACTATTCTAATGGAGTTACAGTTCGATCTCATGGCCTTTTCTCTTGTGCTTAAATGGCTGGGGCTCTGTGCCCTACTCAGACAAGGGAATAGCGGACTGCCAACTTGCTGTAGTAGTACAGTGGCAAGTAGTAGCAAGTAGTAACTTCTTAGTAACTTTAGATTCATACAGAAGACGCATATGAATTTAGCCAAACTTTTATTTTACATTAATAAAGGAGGAAAAGAAGGAATACAAAGATGAACAATCAGCTGGTAATTTCATGCAACTGGAGATGACATTAGAAATACACTACTATGCAATTCTCTTTCCTTAATCATAAGATGCTAAGACATCTAGAATAAATTTAAATAAATGAATATGTTTCCTAAATTTGATACATTTTTTAAATCCTTAATCATAATCTTTGTTCTAGTTGATCTTAACAGAAACAATATGGAAAAATTCTAGGGGAAATAACAGGCCAGTTTGCTTTGCTCAGAAGTAGATAATAACAGTCCTAACTCTAAGTATTCTCTCCTAACTCAAGAAATTGCTTTATCATCTTAAGCTAAAATCATCCATATCTCAAGTACTTTTCATCTTAATCTACTAGTCTTTGCAGTATTTTTTTCTGCTGTTAACATGAGACAATACTAGTTAATGCAGTTAAAATTCACTAAACCCAACAGAATTACACCGAAAACTCTGCATTAATTTTTGTATTTCTATCAGCCGCGCACTCAAATTTCTTGTCTTTTACATCCATACCTCCTCTATGACTGAAATTTTTGTATGGAATTTTGAATTGCCTAACACTGAATTTGCACTGAATTTTGAACTGATCATGTCTTCAGTTTCACTGCTAACTTTGGTTTTTGGTTCAAGATCACCCTTTTTATATCATACTCTTATCGCGCTCCTTGAATGTTTTTCATTCATCTGTTTCTTTCTGCTCAAGAACTCATAGGTCACTGGAGAGCTGGTTATTAGACACCCATCAAAGTACTACCCTTCTAAGAAAAGATTACGCTTTCAAAGTAAACGTCCCTATTCATGTAGGATATTCTCTCTTTAAAAATTCACTTCCTTTGTTTCAACTGCTTCATGATTAAGTGGGCTTTTAGGCTGGGAAACAAAAACCTCTGGTAGTCCTTATTAAAAGACGCAGGTGAGAAAGCTGAAGATTTGATCATCAGTGAAATCATCCTGCAAGATAGAAGATGATAGCTCTGCAAGTGGATATGTGACAGCAGAGAAAAAATTTCTTATGACATTAATTTTTTTTTTTTTTTTTTAGAGTTTCCAGACTTTGATGACAATACTAAATATGCAAGGCAAAAAACAACTTATTGTACAGTTATCAATACCGTTCACACTGTATCTCTTTTGGCAGCCCTACGACTTTTTAAACCGTGTCATTGCTAACAGGCCACAAAAGTCAGCCCTTCCAATTTATGTTCCTGCTCAGCAAATAACTAAAGCTTGTCACATTTTTCTTCCTCTTCAAAACCACCAACCTTTGATTATCAGGCTTCTGTTCATTCATATCATCCACATCTACAATTTCTATTACTGCTTTTCAGATCAAAGCCAGGTATCGCAGGCACAAAATTCAGTCCTCTGATGATACCTGTCTTCCCTCTTTAATAACGTGAAAAAAGACCATCCAACTAACTTTTGATAGCTTACACAACTTCAGAGGATGTCACCTGCCTTGTTCACTATCAGCACACTTGCTTTTATTTTTCAAATACATTTTGCTGTCTTTTTGCATCTTTTTCACTCACAGAACATTAGGCACTTAAGACACCACTTTGAGCAACTGATTCAAGCACTCACCTGAAAGATACTTTCAGCAAATCAATTTAACTTCATACGCAGTGGAGGCAATCTTTTGCTACAGAAATGTAAGTCGTCTATATACTTTTAAATAAATATTATGTTCTGTCAGTATAAGGGTCTTTGTCTATCAGAAACTAGCATGTAACTAAAGGGAATGTATCCTAGTGCCTCAGATCATAAGATGAAAACCGAAAACAAGGAGCTTACCCTCTCCTAGCTGAAAAATAAGTACCAAACCCAGACTGATAAAGATTAATGAACATCCAACTCTTTAAAAATGAATTAAAGAGACATCTCTCACCAATTCACCTAGGGGTACCTGATCCTGCTTGGGCAAAAAAAGACTATATAGCCTCTTCTACTTTATTCCTCTCCTGTAAATCCAGGAGATTTACTATAATCTGCTATGTCCTAATCTGCTCAAAATAGGGAGAGAAACAGCATGGTCTGTAACAACACTTCTCGAATAGTAACACTAGGAAATACTTCTCTTTTGATAGTGTATCTCACTTCAATCTGCTTCTACTGTTCTTTGTGCCAAATTACCTGGCCTGTTATAAAAAAAAGAACAAAGAGAGAGGCAAATGTGATACGCATAATGATACATAAAAGCATGCAAGGGAAGAGCAGCATTAAAATTATGTTGTAATGGAAGTGCTGCACAATAAAAACTGGAAAGGGACTTGTCTGCCCAAGTCTGAAGAAGAGTAGCCTGCAAAAAAAAAACTCATACAAAACAAAACAAGACAAAAAAAAGAAAGTTGAACTTTATATTTGACTGTACGGAATTTCATGAAGTTTTGCACCTGGATCGGGAACAATCCTCTGCAACAGCATAGGCTGAATACTAACTGGCTAGAAAGCAGCTTTGCAGAAAAAGACTTGGGGGTTCTGGTAGACAACAAGCTGAACAGGAGTCAACAGCGCACCTCTGAAGGAATTAAGGGTACCTGCATATTTGGCTGCGCCAGAAAAAGCGAAGCACCAGTTCAAGGAAAGTGATTACTCCCCTGCATTTGGCACTTGTGAGGCCATGTCTGGACTACTCTCTCCAGTTCTGCACACATCTTCCCCGTAACAGAGGGAGGTGGACAAACTGGAGAGAGTCCAGCAAGGGACTGATGACGATCAGGTGCTAGAGCACATGATGTACAAGGGGATGCTGAGAGAACGGAGGTTGCTCAGCCTACAGAAGGTAAGTTCGATGGGCAATTGCTGTTCTCAGTTACCTAATGGAGGGGTAACAGAGAAGACAGAGCCAGACTCCTCTTGAAAGGTCACTGCCAAAGGGCAATGGGCAACAGTCATACTTTACAGAAGAGAAATTCTCACTAAATATAAAGAAAAAAATCTTCACAGTAAATAGTGGTCAGCAGAATTGGTTGTCTGGAGATATTCAAAACTAGTCAAGAAAAGGTGCTGAATAACCTCAACTGACTTTGAAGTTAGCTCAGCTGTCAGCAAAACATTGAATTTGGTGAACTCCAGAAGTCATCAGTAATTAATTAATTGTATCACAGCATTCTGCTTAACAGATTTTTCTTTCTGGACTGTTCAGATTCAGGTCTCACCTATAATTATAGTTAGTTCCGAAACTTGACAAAATCATGATGCTGTTATTTCACTGACAAAAGGGATCAAGCCAGAATTACTGTCATTAGTTCTATACTATAATGGCTGTAAGGCAGAACTATTTTCTTTTATTAATAATTCCTAATATCAGGCATAGTTATGTGTGTATACTTCACCACCTAGGAAACAACAGAATTGTCAATATTTAGGCTTAAACATTATATTTCTTTTATTGTTACGTTATATTTCATAGTCAATTCTATGTATCTCACTATGTTCTTCATATCATAGTCTGTTCTCCCAGGTAGCTTTTGAGGCAAAAAGTTGTAGACTTTGCCCCCTCCCCTCCCCTCCCTCCCACCCCCCGCCTTTTAGTGATTCTAGATTTATGCAGAGGTTGATTTATTGAGTGAAGTTCTTCAAAAAAAGCAAGTTAAATTAGAAACCACTGGAGTAGTGCATCCTAACAGGTTTAATTGCATAGGTAGTACAGTATTACTAGTATAGCATACTATACTCTTGGCTACGCTAATTTGAGGTACTGAATAGTAGCATGACAAAAGGTACGCTGCAACACCGATGTTGCTGTCTGGCATTGCTATATTCCTTCAGCTTCCCCAAAGGTCAATTCCTTCACCACCCACTTGGCCAGTGTAATTCAATTCTACATTACTGATTACATGAGACAAGTTCAGATTCTCACCTCAGGCTGGCTATATGCCAGCATCACTAATAGAGTTATTAATAAACTACATGCATGAGACAATAATCAAGCCAACGTCTTACAAAATGGGTGATTGTAGTATATGTATAAATGCTTTTTATATAGAACACTTTTTAAAATGGTATAATCCCTAAGATCTCCCTAAGTTGAGCTGTTATTTGAAAGCTGCAAAGAAGAATAACCATGTTTCTTATGAAATTTTTGTGTGAATACAATTAAAAAGAATATTATTTTCAAGGAACATTAAGTTTCCAGATGTTCAAGAACATTAAAGACTACTGTTCTCATTAGTTGCAACTTAAAAAGAAACCCTATCACTCCTGACAGTCAGGTTAAAATACTGACCTTTATATAGTAATTACTAGATGTAAGAATTAAATTAGAAATCATTACACATGGCATTATGAAAAACCCACGATGGAGGTTTACACTATTAATAGCTTAAATGCAAATTAATGTTTTCTAATGTAGTGTTATTAATAGAAATTCATATAGTAGTAGGCTTTCTTAACAAAAAGTTCTGAAAAAGAAAGAGATTAACTGCAGAGGGATATTTCTGTGCAGTTTTCTTTCTCA